CTGCCCGCCATCTGAATGTACTCACCTGAAAAAAAAAAAAACATGAAAGAGAGATTAAAAAACTGTTGTTTCCCCTTAATTCAACACGAGGAGATGAAAGATCATGATCAATGGAGGTTCTGATGACAGAGATAAAAACAAACAAACCTGGCAGCAGATTCCTGAAGCCCGTCCCGTCGTGTTTCCTGATGCTGTCGAACACCACCGTACGAGCAGGCATGTTCACGCCCATCGCAAACGTCTCAGTCGCAAAGAGCACCTTGAGGATGAAGGGGAAGAAGCAGATTGTTTTACTGTGAGTCTACATGTGTTTGTAGATTATACTTGAAGCAGCAGGGGGGAAAAAATGTTTTTCTACAAATATATCCTGGTTAAATTTCATCCTCTGAAGGTGGAAAAGAAAACTTATTCCCACTTCACTTTGTCGCTGAATTACTAATTAGTATACAGAGAAGCTTAATATTTACATGTATATGAAATATTCTTAAAACAAACATTCTTCTACACAGACCTTGATATAACTTGAGTTAGAGTTAGTTAAAAAGCCCTCCACCAATTTTAAAAATAAAATAAATATCACAATAATGATGATTCGCCATGAGTCAGCCCTTTAAGTGATTAGTAAGACGTGTCATGACTATTCATGGACATAATGTTTGGTAAACTTTTGTGTCTATCTTGCCATAATATCATGTTGTCATATCAAATAATTTAACCCTAACTGAAAGTTATAGATGTAGTCATAAAAACATTTTGATAACGGGCCCCGGAGTAATTTTGTATTTCAAAGCGGGCCGCTGCAGTCTTAAGTTTGGGAAAGGCTGCTGTATAGGAACCCCGAGGTGAACTACTCATGACCTGTATTTGTGATGGAGACTATCACACTCTCTGATTCTATGTTTTGAATTCACAGAGATGCAGGAATACGGTTATCTTTGTCTGACTCACCTTCACGAGACCCCGTGAGAAGAGCATCTCGATGACCTCCTTCAGTATGGGCAGGATCCCGCTGTGATGGACCGCTATCCCCCTCTTCAGCAGATCCCTCATGACCAAGATCTGAACGAGGAGGTGTTCAGAAGTGTGAGTGTCAAATATAGAACGGTTAGAATCATGTAAATATATCAGACTACTTTTTTTTCTGTGATTATTTTGCATCGCATGTTCCAAAACGAGAACGGGAATTATAACGACCTGACATTATTGTTGGATGTTTCAGAATTGTAAACCTTGGAGGTCATCGATCCCCATCAGGCTGATACAGATTTATAACTTACATATCTGTATATTTTCTGATATGTGCCGGTACATGGCTCCTATTTTTTCAAACCTCTCAGCACAGTCTCCTACACATGAAGCAGTTGAGGTTTTAACTAGCTTGGTTCACAATGTTTAATCATGTTATTTACTCTTTAACTGAGTTTATTTGTTGAAGAAACCAGCTGTCAAGGTAACGTTTCATAGTAATATTGATGCAGAAATAGGTGCTGCACCATCTACATGGAAAAGGTCTTTTTACATTCAAGCCGAGAGTTCTCTTTGTTGGCAGCCAAATGTGGAATCAGTGAATAGTTTTCCTTCAAATATCATATCGATATCAGTCTGAAAGATCTCACATCAGGTAGACTCGTTTTTATACTTTTCAAAAACTTGCTAAGAGAGAAATCACATTTCCAGTCTGAATTGCCCCAAGATGAATCTTAATAAAGGAAAAAGATTCCAAGCTGAGAGGAACAAACAGTTTGAAAATGAACCCAGTCTGAACATGGTTTTAAGTAGGGCTGCAGGTTAAAAATATCGATTTGTCATTGAATTGCAATCATTTTTTTTCCAATTCAATATGGCTTCAGGGAAATCCTGAGATCAATTACTTCTGGTGCGATGACGCCCCACTCCACTGGGGGCACTGTGTGTGCTGTCGTACTTCTGCATACTGTACTATAATGTTGTATTATTTGTTTGTTAAAGAATAATGCAACGATAAAATACATTTTTGAGTCAGTTTGTTCTAAACCAAAACAACAAATAATGCACACATCATTATTTAACAAATATCAGAAGGTATTGTGATGAGTTATCTGGGTATTCCTATCATCTATGTGTTTTATTAAATTGATATTGAAGCATATTGATCAATATCAAATCGAATCGATATTGAACTGTGAACCAAGGAACTGAAATCGAATTGAATTGTGAGGTTGTGGACAATACCCAGCTCTAGTTTTATTTATTTTATTTTATTTTATTTATTTTATTTATTTTTTTATTTATTTATTTTATTTTATTTTATTTATTTTATTTTATTTTATTTTATTTATTTTATTTATAATTTTATTTTACAGGGACATTGCATATTAATAAACATTTCAGTAAATATGGCAGAGTTAGCCAAAAGGCAAATTTTCATCTGTTGTCCCTGGCCAGATTTGATAAAAGCTCACCCTATAAAAAAACAAATTCAAACATCACTAAAAGCTGCAAAAATATAAATATCAAGACAGTAATTAAGCAGACACAGGAGAAAATACATAAACCATGCAGGATACACATCCATTATGAGTCAAGGAGTGAATCATTGGTGGAGAAATACAACTTTAGATTCACATAACTGTACCGCATCACACCAAGCCTTTTACCTGAGGCAGCTGTCTGTCTCCTCCCCTGAGGCGACTCATGCTCTTCTGGAAGAAGGAGTGGATCTCAGCCTTCTCCACAGAGGTGGTCATGTCCATGGAGTCGAGTGAGCGGGCGTTGTCGTCGCAGCGTGTCCGAGAGAAGGTGAAGGCGACGACGGGCGTCTGCTGCCTCTGGGACAGGAAGTGCAGGAGAGTGAGCCACACCGATCGGTCCTGGAGGGAAAAAAAAAAAAGAATAATGCAGACAGGAATGAGAATTTAAAGCAGAAGGACGCGGTTTGAGCAATACAGAAAAACACAGCGAGGGCATGGACAGAAAGAAGAGTATTCACCTGACTCGCTGTGGTGTTGTGAGATGTGTTTTTTGTTCCAAATGATTGGGCATGTTTGCTGGTGCGGTCCTTCTTTGCATCGACAGCTGCATAGTACCTGAAAAGGAAACCCCAAAAAAATTTTTAAGATCATTCTGGTGAGGTTTTAGTCGCAGCGTAACTTAAGCTACAGATGAGAGGAAGCTGCACCCTTTAGTGAGGAAGTTGCCCACAGCGTCCACCAGCAGGAACATCTCTTTCTGAGTCTTGGTGCTGTTTCCAGTGTACAGATAATGCTCCAAAGGCACGGGTCTCTTCATCGTGCTGATCACGTAAATGTGCTTCTTCTTTATCCGACTAAGGAAACAGAAAGATGGGGAGTCAATAAATCAATTAAGAGTAAATCCTCAAACAAGAACAAATAAATATCCACATCATGTCAAAGCTGGGGCTGCGTGGTGGTCACGGCCAGAAGCTTCCTGTTGAACAGGAGCCTCTCTGTGGAGATTCATGTTCTTCCCGTGCATGCGTGGGTTCGCTCTGGGTTCCTCCCACAGTCCAGATCCGTTTCTGGGACGTCAGCGCAGCGTTGCTCAACCATGACACATCACAGGAGAACGACAAGATCCCGCGGGAATAAAGAGAAAAACATGCAAACAACACGTTGCTTTGTCTTTCTGAGGATGCTTTGTTGTTCACTCGGTGCCTGTTTTGACGTCATGTTGATAAAGTGATGAAAAATACGATCGTGAGTCCGTATATTGTGTTTTATTTTGACCGGATGCTCTGTGCGTTTCCTTGTCTGACTTCCTGCCCGGGCTGTGATATTCTGTCCAGCTTGACGCGTGCCTGCAGCGCACTCCGGCGAAAAATGCCAATGACAGCTGGGATCGGCTTCGGCTCATATTGCGATCATGATGAATTAGGATTTAATCATGCAGCCCTAATTTTAGTTTGAAAACAATACAGGAAGTGTTATCTTTGTATAACAACATGCAGCTAACTTAAAAGGAGATGATTATCCAATAAGGAGTTGAAAATATGAACGGTTAAAGGATCAAACAGAGAGAAACTCTGGACCCGCCTCTCACACACGTCACCGTCGCTGACAGAAATACTGTAAAAGCAATGAATTAAATCAAACCATGGTTTTTAAATCCTCTTCAAGGTTCTCTTACCCGATCCATTCACTGAACTCCAGAGCGTTTGGCACTGTGGCGCTCAGGAGGATGATACTGACGTGATCGGGAAGCATAATCAAAACCTCCTCCCACACGACGCCTCTCTGAGGAAAGAAAACAAAAAGACGGTAAAGGAGGAGAAGAGAACTGTCACTCTGTCCTTTTTTTATTACGTTATGATCGAGATACGGAGAGCGGTCTCTGACCTCAGCATCGTTGATGTAATGAACCTCGTCAAAGATCACCCACTCCAAGTCTCTGATGACCTCTGAACCGTTGTAAAGCATAGACCTGAGAGAGAGCAGGAAGACGTTCACTCTTTGGAGTTACAAAAAAAACCAAAAAGATGGATGACATTCATAACCTAACAGCTGAGGTACCTGAGGATCTCAGTGGTCATGATGAGACATGAAGATTCAGGGCTGAGCTGGACATCTCCTGTTAAGAGTCCCACATCGCTGAAGGTGTTTTTAAAGTCTCTGAACTTCTGATTGGACAGGGCTTTAATGGGAGAGGTGTAGATGGTCCTATCAAAACAAAAACAACAAAAACAGAATCAGAAAAAGTTACAGAGGGACAAATGTTGCAGTCTTCATATCCCTTTAGGTGGTATTTGTTCTGGGTATCACTGATCTTGTCTGTGTGTAGTGTAGCTTTTATGTTTTGAATATTTTTGTAAATGTGAAATGTGCTTATGCTACATTTTTGACCAGAACTTCCTAGAAGAAGAAGAATACCATTAGTCTTTTTCTTGTAATGTAACTTAGCTGTGTTTTATCCAATACTGACTTTAGTTTGAATTTATTCATTAGAAACTCCAAAGACAATCTTCTCTCTTTATTATGAAACTGTGTTAAAGCTTGTTGTATCTCTGTATGTATTTGTATTTGAATTTTCCTCTGGATCAATAAAGTACATATCTATCTATCGTTAAAACTTGTAACCCATGTTTGTGCAGAAGAAGAATCAATTAGTACCAAACGCTCACCTCGTCATGTGTTTCTGGGAGAGCGCGATGGCGTACTCGGCCACCACTGTTTTGCCAGCTGATGTGTGCGCGGCCACAAACACAGAGTCGTGGTTCTCCAGCCTGAGCACAGCCTGCTTCTGGAACGTGTCCAACTCAAACGGCCACTAGAGGGAGGAGCGGAAAGACACAGGTCAGGCACTGCAGGAAGTGATTATTAAGTGATGATTAATGACAGAGAGAGAGAGAGAGAGAGAGAGAGGAGCATTCAACACACTACTCCAGTCTACCTGGATGATGTTAGAATACAAACCTTGAAAGCTGGGTTGGGGATGCGTTTATAGAAATCATCACAGGGGGAAGAAATGTTGACAGGGATCGCCCACTTTTTATTTTCCTCCGAGTTTTCTTTTGGCTTTGATTTCTCCTCTTTTCCTTTCTCTGAGGGAGACGAGGATGACACGGCGTCCTGAAGACAGAACAGAAGGAGAACCAGATTTCAGCTCCGAGAAAACACCACAGCTTGTATGTATTTTATTTGTATACTATTTGATCAAATTCAAACAAGTTTATTAAGGGAGAACGGTCTGGTCAACTGTTTTATTTCAGTAAACCAGACTCTCTGAGTCTCATTAAAACAATCCAATGATAAACTACACACATTCTGATTCATCTGAAACATTTAGGACAGAAAAAGATCAACTATCTTATTTTAGCATGATGATGCCTATGTGGACTGTGTTTCTTTTTCTTTATTGGACCTTTGTGATCACCACACAGACAGTCCTGGACATCATGCACTCTGTTTTCAAACCTTTTCTTTCAGAGAGAGGAGAACATTATGAAGCAGTTTTTTTCTTCCTGCAGTACCTTGATGCCCAGCTCTTCGAGGCTGTTTGTTCTTGGTAGTTTGGGTGCGTCTTCCCTCCCTTTGGCTTCCTCTTCCTCTTTCTCCTCAGGCTGTAGATCAGTGATGTAATCAAATGTAGACAGGAGGGACATGAGATTGACCTCTGCTTTTGCTAGCTTGGCATCTTCCAGACACAAATAAAACATAAAGTTAAAAACGTATCTTATACACACTGTAGGATTTCTTTTAGTACAAGAAGTTATGACAGCTTACTTTTGTCAGTGAAGTCCATCCCAGCTTTAAACCCAGGAGGGACTTGAAGTAAATCTATGAGAGGAATAAAGTCAAATTCAACTATTAGGAGCTGAAATACACAGAAGCCTCATCATTTCACAACACTAAGATCAAAATTATAAGATCACCTTTCTCAAAGTCGATGTCTTCCTCCAGCTCGGATTTCTTCTTGATTTGGTCCAGACTAAGCTCCTCCATTCCTCCTGTGAGCACACATTTAAACATGATTAGAAAAGGATGAATACCACGCTGTAAAACATCTCCATTAAAAGACAGGTCATGTATCTTATCGTCTGTCTCACCGGGGAGGAAAGGGTAGTTAGTGTTGCTTCCTCTGAGGCTCTCTGACGGAGGTCCAGGTTGTCGTTGAAATGAAAGCGAGTTCTTTGCTGACATGCCGGTGTTCTCCAGTAACACCTGAAGGTGAATAAAGAAATGTTAGTCTGAGGATTGAACCACCCATCTTCCAGTTGCATGCATATCTAGTGTAGTTATAAAAACAGCACAGACTGTAAGCTGTTTTTTTTTGTTTGTTTGCTGATTTATTTCTCGATAAATATAAATATAAATACATTTTATCATGAAATATCAGAAGAGTCAAAATATCCTGAACTTTTTTCCAAAGTTGAAGTCTACATTTTAATTCCCCTTTTTGATCTGACAGACAGTGCAAAGGCACCAACATGGGAAATAAAGAAAAGCAGGAAATATATTCACATTTTAGAAGCTGGTACGAGCACGTTTTTGTAATTTTTTTTTTTTTTTTTAAGATTTCTTTTTGGGCTTTTTGTGCCTTTAATTGAGAGACAGGACAGAGGATAGAGTCGGAAATCAGGGAGAGAGAAAGGTATGACATGCAGGAAAGGAGCCACAGGCTGGATTTGAACCTGGGCCGCCCGCTTGGAAGACTGTAGCCTCCATACATTGGGCGCACGAACTAACCACTGCGCCACCACAGCGCCCCACGTTTATGTATTTCTATTCAGAAAAATGACCAAAAACACGACTTCAAACATGTTAAACTTATTTTTTTCCTCCTCGTCTTTTATTTTGGAGACATAGGTCGCTCAGCTCCAGGTAACATCCCGCCTTAAACAACAGTGAAGTAAAGACAGTGTTTGTGATGTACCTCTGTGAAGTCCAGCAGCATGCCTGTGGTTGGATCTCTGACGACAGAGAGACCGGAGTGAAGAGTAGACGGAGTGCATTTGAGTAAAGAGTCGACGTTAACTTCTCTCTGAGTCACCCTGATGAGGACAAGACCAAAACAAAAGGGTTTTTATCAAACAAATAAGACATTAAAATAATCATACTTCTGCATATTCTCAGGAAAACATTAGCTTTAAAAGTTACAACATTAAATTGTTTAGAGGAAACACATACTTGAGAAACTTCTGGAAGGCAAAGTCAGTGTCATGTATAGGAAGCCAGGCCGGGTCCTGTAAAAACTGTTTCTCTACTTCTTTCTCCAGGCTCAGGCTGGTGGGAGGTAGACCGTGGGGGAGCTGGGGGGGGGAGATACAGTCAGATATTCAGTAACATTCAGTAAGTGAAGGTTAGATTCCTATGTTAATGTTTGTTTGTGTTTTCTCCCCACAATGATCCCTTCCAACTACAGTAAATCTGAAAAAAGTCCCCCCCAAAGAAAATCATAAAACAACACAAAAAGGTGCACAGGTTTACGGGTGTGTTTTTTAACCACAGCTCACTTCTAAAGCACATGTTTGTTACTTTAACAACAAGAAGAAGCATTCGACTGATGGGGACATTAATGAGAAGAATCATCAATGTTGACAAATAAATAAAAGAGGTGTAAAAGCTAAGCAGTGGTGAAACAAGCATTTGGATGTTTTACATAATAAGCTACATAAAACTCGACAAGTTAAACACCTACAATGAAACACTTCATAAAGAAATAGAGCAATGGAAATATCAGCATTGGGTGTCTCTATAAAAACTGTATTTTACAATACTACTACTTTACTACATCTTCCTTTTTCCACTTCCCATCTGCACAGCTGTCCCAAGAGTCAGCCTCTAGTTGGACACTTTAATGATCACCTCAATTACTTACATCACACCTTTAATTTAATGTTTGCACTGCCTGTTATTTAATGTCTGTTTTTGATAAATCTGCTTTTTTAAACATTACTGTACATATATAAACAACACAACTTCAGGAGGTCAACACTTTTTATTTTCTTATGTTTTATATTCAGGTCTAATTACAGAGTTTTTCTTCAACTGGTTCTTGTTTAAATGGCACATATATTTTTATCCCTGCACTTTTAATTGCACAGTTTAAGTTTGATTCATCTCGGGATATTCTTTAAATCTTTTTTTCAGGTTAATATATATGTATGGGGGGGGGGGCGTCGATTTTGTGGTTAATTTGTAACAAATGTTTCATGTCATGTCTTTGTAACCTGCTGCTGGATGCTTTGAATTTCCCTCTGGATCAATAAAGTATCTCTCTATCTATCTATATATCTATATATATGATAATATTGTTGATGCTACCTAGTTTACTGTTGGGTAGTTTAATGTATAAAATATATCACATTTTATTAACTAATTACATTTAGAGTAATAAAAGAATATAGGCTAGTGCGACGTTCAGTGTTTATCTTTGAAATGCAGTGAAAGAAGTAAAAAGCAGACTGAATCCAAAAAATACAAGATGTATTCAGACTGTATTATAGTTATTTATCAATTCTGGGTCTTTTCTAATCTCTGTGTTTTTGTCCTTGTGTTGTATTTATGAATATTATCTTAATAATGGTATAAACATGATGCTCACACACACCACACAGTCCAATCTGCACTTTGACACTGTTTACATTACAATCTTTACATTTCACTGCACATCTGTATGAGCATGTGACACATAAAAAATCTTGAATCTTGAACCTTGAACATCTGTGGGACTTGAATAAAAAGGTGAAGTAATGTCAGTGATCCTGCAGCTCACTGACCCTGCAGCTCACCGACCCTGCAGCTCACCGACCCCGCAGCACACCGACCCCGCAGCACACCGACCCCGCAGCACACCGACCCTGCCAACCCTGCAGCACACCGACCCTGCCAACCCTGCAGCACACCGACCCTGCAGCACACCGACCCTGCAGCACACCGACCCTGCAGCACACCGACCCTGCCAACCCTGCAGCACACCGACCCTGCAGCACACCGACCCTGCAGCACACCGACCCTGCAGCACACCGACCCTGCAGCACACTGACCCTGCAGCTCACCGACCCTGCAGCACACCGACCCCGCAGCTCACCGACCCCGCAGCACACCGACCCCGCAGCACACCGACCCTGCAGCACACCGACCCTGCAGCACACCGACCCTGCAGCACACCGACCCCGCAGCACACCGACCCCGCAGCTCACCGACCCCGCAGCACACCGACCCCGCAGCACACCGACCCTGCAGCACACCGACCCTGCCAACCCTGCAGCACACCGACCCTGCAGCACACCGACCCTGCAGCTCACCGACCCTGCAGCACACAGACCCCGCAGCACACCGACCCTGCAGCACACAGACCCTGCAGCACACCGACCCTGCAGCACACAGACCCCGCAGCACACCGACCCTGCAGCACACAGACCCTGCAGCACACCGACCCTGCAGCTCACCGACCCTGCAGCTCACTCACCCTGCAGCACACTCACCGTGCTCTGTGGAGGTAAAGGCTGACCAGCCAGGGGATGTGTGATGACCTCAAACCTGCCAGAGCATCCCATCTCCAGCAGGGACAGGGGCAGCTCCAAGGGGCCCGCGGGAGGCACATCTGCACAGAGAGGAGCAGAAATAACTAAATGAATAAAGAGAGCCTGAACGCAACACAAACAAACAACTTATGAATGAAGACACACCCCAAGAACCATTATCAACGTTTTACACTTCTGCAGGAGGTCAAAACAAACTGAAAACATATTACTGCAGCCTTTAGCAAGAATCCAGATTAGTGTGATTAGTCTGATTAGTCTGATTAGTGTGATTAGTGTGATTAGTGTGATTAGTGTGACCCATGAGGAGCTGAAAGGAGCCACATCATCACAGAAGCTGCAGGATTGGAGCATGCTAACAGGAAGAAGAAACTCTTTGACACTTATTTAAACCAAAAACTGTCTTGAAATGTAACAACAGACTTAAACTTACTCATTCGGTCCATGTCAGCACTCACAACTGAAAAGCTAAAAAAAAAAAGTTGCCACCAACGAGTTGTCTGCTGCTGTCGCCTCGGAAGTTGCCAAAATTGACAAAAGCGGAAGTGGCTACTACAAAAAAAAGCTAACTAGATAAATCAGAAATAAATAAATAAATCAGAAACAACTCTGTTTGTCTCCCATTTTCGCTAAACTACCCCAAAAACACAGTGTTATGTGTTATATATATTTACGGAGGGGTGCTGCTGTTGTTGTTGCTTTGCTATCAGTTCACGCTGTTAGAAAGCGCCAGAGTACACTCCTACGTCATCACTCCGCGTCTGTGTTGTTGCTGCGCTACAGGATCGTCACACATTTTGGTGAGCGAATGAATAAACAAGTAATGCAACAGGAAGTGCATGTTTTATCACACTGAGAGGATAGTTTTTAGTTTCCTCGCATGAATTATTCACATATTTAAGCTCTGAGAGTGAATTAAATATTGTTTTGGTTTCAGGAAAGCGACTCTTAGCTGACCGACCTGACCGAGGCGACCTGACCGAGGCTACCTGACCGAGGCTACCTGAGGCACACGGGGGTTTAACAGTAAACCAGATCATTTATCTTTTTTTCTGTGATGTTTAGCTTGATATTTATTGATGAATTGATGGATTAATGTGTGTTTCAGGTGTTTCTGTCATGGTGGTGTTTCCGAGTTCTCTGACGGAGGAGGAAGAAGCTTTACAAAAGAAATATGCGAAATTAAAGAAAAAGGTAAATGATTGACAGCTGGCTGCCTTCATCATCCCCTCGTTTACTCACACATACAAGACATTTGATTGACTGGGCTCTCAATGTTCAAAAGTGTAACATCAGATATTGATACAGGAAATCTTTCTTACTGAAGTCCATAACTCTGAACAACAGCTCACCTGTCATCATGATAATATCTGTCTCTCCATACTGTAATCTGTTCTGCACATGTTACATTTACAAATTATCCCTGCACTCATGTTCACTTCATTTATCTGTCTACTCCGTTATATTGTATAGTTTCTGCTGATAATATGTCTACACTCATGCACTTTAACTTATGTCAATACTGTCCATTTACTACTCTGTTTTTGCACATTTACATTTAATCTTTTATATTTAAGACTAGTAATGCTTAGTTAAATCCTGGTTGTATATATTCCCATTCTTAGTTTTGATATTTTTAGTGCTTATTTACTTTGTATTTAATATTGTATTGTGTTTAAATTTGCTCATATTGTGAGTTTGGACAACCTGCTGCTGTAACGCCACAATTTCCCAGTTTGGGATCAATAAAGTCATTCTATTCTATTCTATTCTATTCTAAACAGACAAATTAACAAACACTAATATGTACGAGCCTGCATGAGACAAAAGTGCCGTGATGAGTTGTGCAAACGATGCTGAAAACAAAGATGATGAATTATGTGATTATGTTACAGATGGGTTCATTTTTACAGTATTTACATTAAAGCAGTGTGCATAGATTGAGGTGAGGAGGATAGCAATACATGCATGATGATGATAAGTGAGTGACCATAACATGCGGATGAATAATGGTATTAACATTAATCTGTAAAATGCGTTGTTGTGACATGAAGTCCCATTCTGTTTGATCTTCTCTGTATTTCAGAAAAACAAAAATGATTTCAATCTTTTTCAGAAAAAGGCGCTGCTGGCTTTGAAGAAGCAGAGTTCAACCAACCAGACAAACCAGAGTGGCTTGAAGCGCAGTAAGTGCATATAACTCCCCTTCTATGTATACGGTTAATTCCTCATCATCATATTAACTTTAAACTCACCTTTCTTAAAGCTTTGTCCGACCAGCCTGTTGTTGACACTGCAACAGCTACAGAGCAGGCGAAGATGCTGATCAAGTCGGGAGCCATCAGTGCCATCAAATCAGAGAACAAAAACTCTGGCTTTAAACGCTCTCGAATGCTGGAGATAAAACTCAAGGTGAGATATTCTCCTGACAATCATTTGTTGACTTGTTTTGTTTGACTTGATTTGTTTAAATGCTGTTTTTTAATTTGCCGCAGGACCCCGAGAAAGGCTCGGTGCCGGCTTTCTTACCGTTCCAAAGAAGTGTCTCTATAGACGAAGAACAACCTGAGGTAAAGTGGATACAAAACATAAACACAGTTATATTTTCTTTTCTAAAGCATCAATTCATCAGAGATTGAAGTCTATTACATGTTCATGTCTTTCTGTATTGACTGATTTCTGTTGTTCACATTCATGTTGTAGTTGTTTATTAACTTTTTATAAATACACATCATATATTTTTATGCACATTTACAGATTGAAGTTTTGTTTAAAAATGTTAAAGTTTGAAAAAGTCTTTATAAGGGTTTGAATTGAAAATAGGAAATGTTTTTTTGATGGAATTGTATTTGTGCTTCTCCTAGTCTGGGAAGAGAGCCCAAAGGAAATCTCTGTATGAGAGGTAATGTCTCCACACCACGATGAATAAGCACAACCAACATGTTTAATAAGCTGTGAATTAATGTGTCTGAATTATCCCCGTATGACCTTACAGCTTCGTCAGCTCGAGCGATCGTTATCGAGATGACGACGACGGAGGGAGCGGGGGCAGCGGAAGTGGTGGCCTGCCACCCAGCCGCGAGATGGACAGAGAACGAGAGCGAGAGCGAGAGCGAGAACCTGAAGTGGATAAAGAGCGGGACAGAGAGAGAGAGAGGGAGAGGGAGAGAGAGAGAGACCGGGACAGGGAGAGAGAGAGAGAGAGGGGAAGGGACCGAGAGCGGGAAAGGGACCGAGAAAGAGACAGAGACCGAAGCAGAGAGAGGGATCGAGACCGTGAAAGGGATCGGGAAAGAGAGAGAGACGGACCCTTCAGACGTAAGAAAACAAATCTGTGTTGTTCTAAAAGAAGGCTATGCACTTGTTTTATTCCTGTAGTATCTTTTGTGCTTCAGAGCCATGCTGTAAAGTAGATGTGTTTGGGGTTTTCAAATAGCAGGCTGGCTAACTAAAATGCCGTTTCCAATGTTTTCCCTTGCAGGGTCAGATTCCTACCCCGAGCGAAGAGGTGTGAGGAAGGGGAACACAGTTTATGTTTACGGCTCCGGGCTCACTGAGGAGAGCCTCCGCTCTGCTTTCTCTCAACATGGAAACATCATAGACCTCTCCATGGACAACCCACGCAAGTATGGAACCATTTAACAACTCAACGTGCACACTGCCAACATCTCTACCTACTCTTATAAATGCATTCTAACTGTGTTCACATATTAGACTGCTTTCTCCTGCTTCAGTTAAATTGTGATTTTTGGTTTTGTTCCACTAGTTGTGCATTCATCACTTTTGAGAAGATGGAGTCTGCAGACATGGCTGTGGCTGAGGTTTGTATCTACCTAATATAAGAGAATAAATAGAAAAGAGAGAAAATGAGTGCAGCAGAACAAAGAGCTGTCCAAGAAAGGTTTAGATTTTAAACATTTCCCATATTCATTTTTAAATTGTAAGAAATCTGACTGGTTTAGGACAGTAGTTGGAATCCTAAACCCACACAAATCTGAGTACACTTTTATTTCTAGAGCAGATATGTTATTGAGAGAGGGTGTAGGTATCATAAATGGCCAGATAAATAATAAAACTCTTGAGTTAAAAAAAAAACTCTCTTATAGAAACTCTTACCTAAAGGTCACTTTTAGGTAAGAGAACTTTCCCACTGCATCATGTTTTCAGTCAGCAGATAGTTTCCTCAGGTGTTTCAGGAGAGTCTAATTGACCTGATAATAAAATTAAGTAGGTCAGACTTACCTTCGTTTATTCAACTTCTCTGCTTTTATTTTTATTAATATGCTTACATTATTTCTTTTAATATTTACTATAATTTTTTCCATAATTTAATGTATTTTAATTATCATTTTAAATACATACTTTCCTACATCAGCAGACTGATTTCGACAACCTGGTATTAAATTAGTTATCACATCATCGTAAGCCATGGTCATCAGGGCAGAAAGTTAGAAATCCCTTAAATTCATAGGTTTGTTTTTGGTCTTGAAGGTATTTTCATGCTAAATGTAGAACTTTTAACGGACATTTTCCAAATTAATTAAGTATTTTTTCATATTTGACTTGAAAACCGCCTTAAGTTTTAGGTGTGTCTTCTCGATGTGTCGTGTTTATACAGAGCAGCTCTTTTAACCCTCCTTGCTGTGTTTCATCTCTCAGCTGAACGGGAGCACGGTGGGAGACATTCACATCAAAGTCAGCATCGCAAGGAAGCAGCCCATGCTGGACGCCGCCACGGGCAAATCTGTCTGGGCCTCACTCGGTATAAACGCAGCGCTCTTACTGTGTGTGTGTGTGTGTGTGTGTACAGCGAGGACTAACCTTCTGAATGTCTGCTTTGTGTTACAGCTGTGCAGAACAGCACGAAAGGCTCCTACAGAGACAAGAGGAATCAAGTCGTGTACAGTGAAGATTTCCTCAAATGAGATTTTTTTTCTTCTGTTTTTGCATATTTCTTTTCATATTGTTAGTAGCAATCTTTTTGTGTTACAGGATGAATGCAGAACTATCCTTTATCTCTTAGATCATACGGCTGTTTGCATTATATTCTGTGATGCTGTGGCAGCTCTGCTCATTAAACAGAATTAAAAACTTCAATAAACAAGTGTCCAAACGTTCTTACTACTTCCTGTGTGTTTTCCATAAAACCTTTCCAAACAAGACAAAGAAAGTCGCTGGATGAGATAAAGCAGAGAGGAGTTAAGAACATTTTAGATTCCCCCCATTAAGTTCCCGAACAGTAATCCATGACTTCTAAAAACAACATGCACAACAGGTCCAACGAAGCTGGTAGAAGATTTCACACATTTTACAGGAGGGACTTCCAATGATGTTTTTATTGACATGACTTTTCTTCAGTTATCTTACTCAACATGTTAAATATATATTCAAGTGTAAGATTACAGTTGACAGTCAGAACTCAAAATCAAATGATTTAAGGACACAACAGAAACCAACAGGTCTCAATGAAGACGTCGTCACAGTGTGAGAAGCACAGTGATGAAGAATCAAGACGATGAGGGCTGAATTCCATTTAGCTGCTTCAGTCTCCTTGTATTGTGCTGAATACAACAGAGCCATCAACCATCACAAGTAACACCTGTGATTTTCTGCTGAGTCAAATGAGTTTAGGACCGTACCACCCCAAGTAATTTTTACCCAAATCCCTCACAAGTTGTGTAAAAATGCTTTTATTCTTGTGGTCAGATTTCAAAAG